GTGTTGAGGTGTTTTCAGTCCTTTGACGTCTGAGAAAATATCAGCTTGCTCTCATCACTCCTGCCGTCTGAGCTCCTGTGATCTTAATGAAGGCTGAAGACCTGCCAGAACATTATCTCCAGAGGTTGGTCTTATGAAGAAGCTGTGACGGATCTACACCAAACTGTGGATACATGCAAACACCCAGAATGTGCTTCGAGGCAGTCAGCCCTGCAACAAGACATTAATCACAATTTGATAATTATTTAGTAAATTTGTTCATATTGAAATTAGAATTTTGTTTTGTGCATTTACATCTTTTTTACAATTCTTTCCATTCTAAAACTTCCAAACGTGGTAAGATCAACAGCAAAAATGTTTATAAAAATATGTGACATTTATACAGTTTTATGTATTTAAATGTTCTAAAGTAGGGACGTCCAAACCTTTCAAGACAAGGGCCAAAATCATCGCCACAAAAATAAGACATTTCAGATGGTATTCAAATATATTGCACACATCTGTAAAACTGGATGTTAGTGCTTTGATTTGAATTGTTTGCCATAATCATGAATTCAGAATGTTACAGCGGGGGTGTGCCTTTCTTCACAATCATGTTTTCAAAAAATAAAATAGGAACTGAACACTAACATTGTTCAATTTTTATTTGATCTCTACAAAAGACTTGTAAGTGATGACTGAACCATTGAAAGGTCAACTAAACTGAAAAAACCTTTTTTCATTATTATTTCTGATCATAATCGGTCACTGAGTTTTACATGCAGGCTGAACATGAAAATCATCTTTACTCACAACACGGAAGGCTGTTGTTGGTTTAGCGTCTAGGAAACAGCAGAGAATGTCTCGACTAGTGGATGCTAATGTTAGCATTAGCAACTCCACAACATGACAGAACAACTCCAGATTTGCGTTATTTGTGGACACAAAACATTAAGGTTGCAAAGCAAATGGAGTCAGTATAGAGTTGTGTTGCTGTTAGCCAATCAGATAAAAGACGTCCAAATATCAGAATATGAGGGTCTAAATCCTGTTGTCTTCTGTCAGTCTCTCCTCCAGCTGATTAATTCATCCCCAAACTGGTGTGCTGGGACTTTATCCCCAAGAGTACGACTTATAAGGCATTCATTCCTTGTAAGGCCACTGTAAATGTATTAAAATATGCGTAAAGTTGACCTTGAATACATCAATATTAAATAATTTCATCATGATTGTACAAAGCGTTTCATTTATTCTGGTGAAAATAAATGGCAGTGGTAGGTTTTCATATTCTGTAGGAGTAATAGAGTTTTGGACTGTGAGTAAAGGCAGGAAATACCCTTAACAAAACATAATTGGCTCAGCAGTCATCCCTAAATGCAGAAGACACTGATAGGTGTTAGATTTGCAGTCATTCACTCATGAAGCAAAATAAAAACATACCCAACCATCCACCCACCCAACCAACCATTCATCCACCCACCAAACAACCATCAACTCACCCAACCATTCAACCAACCATCCACCCACCCAACTTTTCATCCACCCACCTAACCATCCACCCACCCAACCAACCAACCAACCAACCATCCACCCAACCATTCATCCACCCACCTAACCATCCACCCACCCAACCAACCATCCATCCATCCATCCACTCACCCAACCAACCAACCAACCAACCATTCATCCACCCACCAAACAAACATCAACTCACCCAACAATTCAACTAACCAACCATCCACCTACCCAATCATCCATCCATCCACTCACCCAACCAACCAACCATCCATCCACCCACCAAACAACCATCAACTCACCCAACCATTCAACCAACCATCCATCCATCCATCCATCTACCCACCCACCAACCAGAATCAGAAGGGTTTATTGCCATATGTGTGAGAAATCCCAACATTAGGAACTTGCTGTGGTACTTGGTGCAAAAATAAGAAATAAGTACAAAAAAATAAAGAGGCAATGACTTGAGAAAATGTCTTCTTCCGGCTCTTGGAGGGTGCAGATGCTTTTTTCCTCCTCTCCTCCATATCTTATCCTCAACGCCCTGTGTGTGCTGGGTGCACGGCAGCTTCTGCATTTTTTCTGGAAACTGGAAACTGAAATTCACTCAAATGGATCTCGTCAGTTGGTCACTCAACGCGATTGGAGAACGGGAGAAGGGGCTCCCGGATGCCCCTCCACGGCAGACCCAGTTGGACACATCATGGACTCCTGGAAACAGTGGAACTTGATTTGTTTATCTCAGCTGTCTGTGGAGGACTCTGAAGACGTGTGGAAATCCGTGGTGTTGGTGTCAGGTTTCCTGCTCATTGGCCTTGGAGGCTACCTGGCTTTCCGTAAAATTAACGAGCTGTCGATGAATATTGGCCTGATCCCGAAGCTCAGAGATGGTTTGCACCGCGCTGTGAATTCACAGACTCACATAATTGTCGAGATGAATTGTAAGCTTGGAACTTTGGCCAAGATTCATTACTGGCACAAAAGATGGATGCCATCAAGGAGAGAGTGGACGAATCAGCACGGATTGGGATAGATTAATGTCCATTATTGGGATTTTGAGAGGTTGAGGACCAACAAACTGTAAGACGGACAGGAAATTATCTCTGTCTGGCCCCAAAACAATTTCTAATCGGAACCTGGCGCCCTTGAACCTGCAAGGCTCCAACGAAAACTCCCCCCTCAGAAGATATGTGGAATGTGCCATCGCTATGGCAACTGAACTCCTTTTCCAGCCTGGGCGGGACTGCGGAAAGGCCGCTGAAACGTTCCAGGGTCACTGCAACCCTCCAACCCTCAATGCTCCTCCCCCTATCCACACTGAGGTGACATGCGCTGCTTATCGTGGCTGCAGGAACTGAAGTGGGGATAGTCCCAACCCACCACCCCACCTAGTGGACACTTATGTTGTGTTGTCTGAAGTCTGTTGCATATCTGTCTGAGGTGTTTTTTTTTTTTATTTTATTTATTTTTTTTTTTTGCAGAGCAAAGCTGCCCTCCCGGTGGAAGGTAGCTCTGAAGTGCCTTTTTTCCCCTCTACCTGAACCAATCCTCATGTAAACCCCTTATCTCTATTAAGGTAGCGCGACTCAGGGTTGCGAATGACCACAGTCACCAATTCTTGTCATATGTCTTGCCCATGTATGTCTGATCTCTGAATTGTGTGTACTGAAACTCTAATTTCCCTCTGGGATTAATAAAGTATCTTTGATTGATTGATTTGATTATATATACAAGACAGTGTAGGTACTGATCAGAGCAGAACAGTCAGGTGCAAACAGGTCAACCAAACAACCAACCAAACATCCATCCATCCACTCATCCACTCCTTAGGTCACTTGAGAATATTCAATCAACCTAACCAGCATGTTCAGAACCATGTGAGGACACGATCCACACGTACACATAACAAACATGAAAACACAACAGAGAGGCATCCCCAACTGAGATTTGAACCATAACCTTCTTAGTTTTTTTTTTACCACAACAATAAACCTGTTGCCCCATTAGAATCATTACAATTATTTATTTATCAACATCTAAAGTTAAATTAACAGCACTTTAAACAAACAAAAAAATCAAAGATCATCATTCATTACAAACGATAAGCACAATGCAGCTGCTTCACAAAATTACAAAATTATAAAAAATTTTCTCTTGCTTTCAGAAGATCTAAACATATAAAACACTTATTCAGTGATGAAAATCTTACTAACAATGGTGATTAATATAATTAATTAAAATTAAGTAATTTTCTGCTTATTTAATAATTACACAAGTGTGGGTAAACAAGCACAAATGTCATTTATTTGAAGTTGTTTTATAAAACAAGTCCAATGAGCTCATTTTGTGCTTATTGGCAGTGTTGAGTCTTTAAATTGGTTGGTCCATCAGCCCCAAGGTTGGATATCCACTCCTCTGGGATGAAACATGAAGGCATCCACAAACAAAAATAAAAAGCACAGGAGGTTAACCATAAGCATAGCCGAACTCACCTGCTGTGGTAAAATGCCCATGGGGAGGAAGCCAGTAAGACCGGCTGGAAGGCAATATTTGCTCCTGAAGCTGATTGGGTGATAGAAATGAGTTTACAAAAACAAAATGAAGATTAAAGGATATGAAAATTAAGAAAAATGACATTGTGCCAGCAAAGAAATGAGAGATGAATACATAGAAACAATTTTCAGCAGAGCTCAGATTTCTCTAAAGAATGTTATTTTTTTGTTTATTTTTTTTTGGATAGTAAAATCAGTTTGTGCAAACAGTCACAAACATTACATTTAGATTGGAAGCTCTGATTTTAAAAGGATCTATGAAAAGTCTCAAATGTATTTATTTAGTTTTCAATCAGCTGTTGCTCAAAGTTTAGTTTTATTCATTTTTTATTTTTTGCCCCAAGAGATTTATACATTTGTATCCCAGTCGAATCACAATATCTCACGATGTGCCAATCTTCTGCTTTACATCTTAGATTTTGTTGTTCTTTTGGATATTTAAAGACACTGTATCAACATGACAGCTATAAAATCTGGGTATGAAAGGTTCAAGTCCTCAGCTCTGTGTTGGACGATTCTCCTGTGAGGTTTCAGAAATCATTAAGTTTCAAGCTCTCCTGCTAACAGCCCACACACTCTTTCAGCTTCCTCAGGAGCAGAAATATCTCTTCAGAGCACCGATTTAAAACATCTTACAAGCTTTCATCTCAGATTAAACTGGAGCTAATGGCGTAGGCACACACTCACACACACACACACACACACACACACACACAACCAGGTAGGAAACCTCACATTTAGAGAAAACAAACACAACCTCTCGATGCTTCAATTACCGTAGCTTGTGTTCCCAGTGAGCTGAGAACACATACAAAATCATTCTGCCTGAAAGACTCCAAAGGAATCAAAATGGTTGCAGGAATGTATGTTGTGTGTGTCCGTGGCATGTCTGTAAAATGTGTGTGTGTGTGTGTGTGTGTGTGAGAGCTACAGCTCTGATTTAGGTCTAGTCCACACGTAGCCGGGTTTTTTAAAAAACGAATATCCGACCCTCCAAAAACTTGCATCCACACCACCTCGTTTAAAAAAAAACTCTATCCACACGTACCCAGATAAAAACGTTGTTAAGGACATGCCAGACCTGTAGGCGGCAGAACTTCCCCCGTTCTTAACCTCGTCCTTCGTCTGTGGTCTTCTGCAAGGAGCAGTAATTCGGCTTGCAAAAACAAACAAGCAAAAAGCGCTTGGACAATTGATAAAGCGAGCGCAGCTCTGAGGACATCCATGCTGTCGGCTAGTGTAAACACAGGTCGCACACGTGATGTCAGCATTTTTTGTTGCGGAAAGTGACGTTGCAGACCTTAAAACTCCGGTTTTGTCTGTCCACACGCAGACACCCAAAACGGAGAAAACGCAGATCTTCACTTTGGCCGGAGTTTTTAAAAAGATCCGTTTTTGTGTGAAAAAACTCCGTTTTCGTGTGGATGACAGGCCAAAACGTAGAAAAATATCTACGTTTTGGCAGATCCCCGGCTACGTGTGGACAGGGCCTCAGTTTACTTCAATTAACTACAGCAAATAAGAATAAATGTTTCAAGGGACTTGAACAGAGTGGAGTTCCACAGTAGGCTCTATTTGTCACCAATCAGACCAGCTTGACCTCAACCACCTGACACACATGCAGTCATTTGGCAGGAACAGAGTGCATTGTGTGTCCTGTGAGGCTGGAAATTGTCTCTTTTTTCCCCAGAGCTGCTCCATAGGCCAGAATACACCAAATAAACCCGCTGATAAATGACCTCCCATGAAAACACAATAACATCCTGTATAGTTCAATCTGAGCTGAAACATGCTGATTTATGAAAACACAGGATGTAAACAAACAAGAAATGGTGAGCTAAATACATGAAACTGATGAAAATTGGCTGTTTCACGTGTGTGTACGGATTCTGTTTCACTTGCGTCTCAAGCGTCCATAAAAGCCATCTTTTTCTACCAGGATGGTATGTTGAAGGCCCCAGCAGGCTGAGTGTGAGAGCTGTGGATCACCTCCTTGCTGTTTTCCTCCCACTCTGGTTCTAAAACCTGGTGCTCTCATGTTTCAGCATGCGGACATTGGCGAGTGTCACGCTGCCCCTGTGGTGGTACCCATACGCCTGAGGCTGCCCCTCCAGTCACCGAGTGCTGCTGCATGATGACATGCTGCTGCTGGGACTGGTTCTCACTGAGCCCCGGTCTTCAAACACGCTGATCTCTAGCTGGGGACACAGGGAAGGTCAAGGATCAATGAGATACAGACTGCTGTACAAGAAAAAGAGAGCCGGCTCCGTCTAATGGACAATAGAGTTTAGTACAAGACAACAATCTACACACTACTAAACTTTTCTGTTTTTGTCGCTGAAACATAAGATTCCTACATGAGTCTTAAACCTGGTTCACACAGCAGGATTTTGAAAAAGTCGACCGGTTTTTGGAGCATGAGAGACCGCACACAAGGTAATTTTAAAAAGTACACATCTACCACTTCAGTCCTACCAGTGTGTGTTGTTTGCAGCAAATACTACACGCTACACACCAGCCTTAGCTCTAGACAGAGCTCAGGCGTGGGGTGGAATCTATGTTTGTTAAACTGTCTCCAGTTGGACAGTGCCAGGACCAGTCCGAGCAGGAACCAGAGGGAAATGACGGTGCTGTTGACAAAGTTAAAGGAAGTGGCATCCTGACTTATCACAGGCTTGTGGTCTTTATCACTTTCGATGTACTGTTAAAAAATTGCACCTCTCTCCATCACCCTCTGCGGGCCTGCTGTGTGGCCCTTGCGTCAACGCATAATGGCGTTCTGTGTCTCCATATCCATGCAGATGGAGAAGTATAAATCAAGCTTATGTTATCCAGAGTTGATGCCAAAGCCAGTTCAAATGAACACCACTGATGAGCCGCTGACATCTTTTTTTTTCTCAGCTGCTGCTCTAGTGCTGAGCCTTCCCAGCGTCTCTCTGCAACAGAGCGGTGTGATTGGTCCGATCAAACTTAGCCGAGCCAACGGTAGACCTGCTGAGGCTACAAAGGAGCATGTCTAAACCAACCTGCAGAGCTAAATCTTGTTACTACTGTGGTTTGTCAAGGCTACATGAACCCCGCTCACTCACGGACCATCCCCACTCAGACGGGAAATCTCTCGAATTATAACATGACTTAGAATTCAATTCAATTCAATTTTTTAATACAGAGCCAATTCACAACAAGAGTCATCTCACGGCAGTTCACAAAACAAACTAAACATGGGGAAGGAAGAACGTGCTGCGTGCTTCAGTCATCTCATTTCCTTGCCACGTTCAACAGTCAACTCTTTTGTTTGTCCCCAAAAATTAGACCAAGACGATCCGACAGGTTTGAAAGTCTGGATTTATGATCAGAGCCGTCTCGACATGATTCTGAGTGTACCAGACCGTTCGTAACACACCACATGAAGCGGGATTATCTGATAAGATTATCTTTAGAGCCGTTACAGTAGTCACACACACAGCGTGTAGATTGTCGGAAGGGGTGGGGCTGGTCAAAAAGCAGCATGATTATCCTGTGGTGTGGATCAGGCTTTAGCAGTCTTCTTACCCGTAGAAGATAAAAATCAGGGTCTTTACAAAAGTGGATTTCTGCCATCTAGAAATACACTTTCCTAGTACTTCAAGAAAACACTGAATTAAATACTTTGCACATTTGTCACTTTTACTTGGTAACAGTTTCATCATGTGAACAACACTACAACACATTGTTCCTTGCAGAGACGGCTCAGTGGAAACCATCACCATCATTTCTCTGATTTTAAAAATGAAATAGAATGAAATAAAAATGGATTCTCTAACTTGCTTTCAGAAAACTGATATTGCAACTTCTGGGAGAGTCCCGTCTGTGTTGGTTCCAACCTCGGCCCTTTGAGTTGAAGCCTGATCTTTAGAGCAGTCTGAGCCAGGCCTGTGTGATGGTCTGCTGAACACATTTTCTCTTTCCTTTTGCCTGCAGTGGGATCACTCCAGCTGACAGAAAGAGACGCACGTTGGCAAACTCTAAAAGCAGAACAGCTCATCCATAAAATAAAGCACCACGAGCCACATGAATAGCTAGCAATATTGCATAATAATAATAATACATTTGATTTGTAAAGCACTTTACATTTGAAACAAATCTCAAAGTGCTACAAAGTTAATTTAACCTGAAAACTCTGGTAAAAAGATAAGTTTTAAGACCAGATTTAAAAGCACCAATAGTCTGTGGCATCCTCAGATGCCCTGGGAGAGAATTCCAAAGTCTGGGGGCAGCTGAGCAAAAAGCATGATCTCTCATGGTGCGAAGATTAGTCTTTGGAGTTCTCAAAAAATATACTGATGCAGAGCGGAAGTTGCGTGTGGACGTCTGTGAAAAAAGAAGTTCTTTAAGGTTCTCACACTGGTGGGTGAGAAGGGCTACCTTGTAATCAATTCTAGATGAAATAGGGAGCCAGTGAAGAGACTTAAGAATTGGCGTAATATGGTAATATTTGCGTCCTCTCATCAGGATCCTAGCAGCAAAGTTCTGAATATGCTACAGCTTTTGAAGGATTTTTCCAGTAATCCCAATGAGAAGTGCAGTGCAGAAATCCAGCCTGGAGGAGACAAATGCATGGACCAACTTTTCCGCATCAGCAAACGTTAGTGCTGGACGCAGTTTTGCTATATTCCTGAGGTGGAAAAAAGACGTTTTACACAGATGCTTGACAAGGGCCTCATAGGTCAAACTCGAGTCCATTTTAACCCCAAGGTTTATAACAGATGTTGACAGTGGGATATCCTGACCAGAAAAGGTAATACAGTTGATGTTAGATGACCTAACCTGGTGTGGGGTGCCTACTAAAATAGCTTCAGTCTTAGAGTTGTTTAGCTGTAGCTTCATTCATGACTTTATCTCCTCCAAAAAGATGGTCAAAGTGGATAATGGTGGAGTAGACGAGGAGGTGGAATTTAACCTGAGATGAAGCTGAGTATCATCAGCATAACAATGGAATAAAATACCATGCTGGCTAATGATATAGCCCAGGAGAAGCATATATAATACAAACAAAATCGGACCGAGCACAGGGCCCTGAGGAACACCACAGGTGACATTGTGTATAGCAAATTTTGCCTCTCCCAGGGCAACATACTCCGTTCGTTCAGTAAGATAGGATGAGAACCAATTGTAAACAGAGTCAGAGAGTCCAACAGTGTGACGTAATCTGTGAAGTAGAATGTTGAGATCAACAGTATCAAAGGCTGAGGACAGGTCCAACAGGATGAGAAGCGATGGAAAACCAGCATCAGCCGACATCAGCAGGTCATTCGTAACTCTAACCAGAGCTGTTTCCACGCTGTGGCAGGAGCGGAAGCCGGGCTGGAATTTCTTAAACAAATTATTTGCTTCTAGATGACACTGAAGCTGTTCAGCAATTACTTTTTCCAGTACTTTAGAAAGAAACAGGAGGTTAGAAATGGGCCTGTAGTTTGCAAGTACTTCTGGATCTAAAGTTGATTTTTTAAAAGTGGTCTGATGATGGCAGATTTCAATGTAGCGGGAACATATCCAAACTGGAGAGAGTGATTTATTGTCCTGGTAATCAGGGGACTTAGGGCCCAAAAGTTGGATTTAACCAAAACTTTAGGAAAAGGGTCCAGAGCACAATTTGATGGTTTCATCTTTCTGACAATGACCTCAAACAGAGAAACAGCTAAAGGGCTGAAAGGTTCCCTGGCTGTGGGTCATCCAACAAGACAGGAAGTGCAGAGGAACTCGATAAAGACGAGCGGATGGTATCCACTTTTTTCCTGAAGAAGGTAATGATGTTATTGCAGTTCCCCTCTGTAGCTTCCATATGAGATTGAAACTGCGGTTTCAATAGGCGATTTATAGTAGAGAACAGTTGCTTTGAATTTCCAGTGCATCATTGTTAATGATATTCGAGTAAAACTGTGATCTTGCGGCTCTCAATGCTCTTGCATATGCCTTCTGATGTTCTCTGTAAGCTTGCTTATGAACAGTGAGTCCTGAAACCAGTAGACGTCGCTCAAGAACACGCCCAGTTGTCTTCATGTTCCTCAGCAAACATGTATACCAGGGGGCTGAACATGAAAAACAGACTGTTCTGTATCTGACAGGGGCATGAACATCAAGAAGACTGCCGAGGGATTTGTTTTAGAAGTCAACTGACTCAGTGACTGAGGAACATTCAGCAGAGGAGAGATTCTGAAATCTTTGCTCAGAGTATCTGCGTTGATCTTATTCAAGCTTCTGTAACGTATCTGTCGCTTTGCTTTAGTGGGTGAACAAGAGAGTGACAACTCCATTGAAATGACCTTGTGGCCAGAAACCCCCAGATCATACGCAAAAATGTTGCTAATGGGTACAGAGTTTGTAATAACCAGATCCAAGGTATACCCTCTGGAATGTGTAGGAACATCAACATGCTGTTGGAGATTAAGGCAGTCCAGTAGTTGTAAAAACTCAGCTGCCAAATGGCAGGAGGGGGAGTCTTCATGAACATTAAGGTCTCCCAGTATAATAATGTTGGAGGAAGTGGTACAGATGAATGTAAGAAAATCATGCATCTCAGAGATAAACACTGAGTTTGGTTTAGGGGGTCGATAAATAAATAAGCAGCACAGTTATGGGCAGAGGGGCTTTACACTTAAATGCAAGGCATTCAAATGAAGACAGTGTAGGCACAGTGAGGGGAGACGGATCCAGTTGCTGTCTATATAAAACAGCTAAGCCACCGCCACGTCCAGTACTGCGGGCTTTCTCCAAATAGCCATAACCAGAGGGACAAGCTTCATTTAGTGCCAAAAAAGCCTCTGGCTGGTGCCATGTTTCCGTTATGCACATAAGATCCAAGCCTTTGTCCATTATATGATCTTGTATAAACACTGACTTATTTGTGAGAGATTGTGAATTAAAAAGTTCTATCCTGAGCATTTTTGGTGTGGTAAATTTCCGTATTGGCTGTAAAACAATAAAATCCACTCCACGTTTTCTGTCCTGCTTGGTAGATAGCGTCCTCCGAAAGTTTCCAAGGCAGTCCGAAAGAAAGCTCTTGGTGCTTCCCATGCTACAAACACCTGGAGTGACATTGCTCTGATGATGCGTTTGATGAGTGACAGCGGTCCACACAGAGGGAATGGATGAAGCCGAACAGCTAGGCCGATGGTAAACAAACTTCCGCCGAGAACTTCTGTAGATATAATGCGGTTGGCGCAGAAGTCCGAGTTTCTTTATGGCGGCAATGCACGTAGGAGTGGAACAACTGTTGAGACTTAACAACTGCGGGATGGTGCATTTCAGCCCCATGCCAGTCGCCGGAGAACCAGCAAAACAAGCCAGCAGCCAAAACGACTGCAGAAGCAGCAAAACCAGACTCAAAAAACTCTGGTGCATCGAGACCACAGAGCGAGCGTCCAAGGAAGCACCCAACGTCCCAGCAGCGCCGAGAAACACCAAGAAGCCAAAGGTAAAAAACTAGAGTTTTAAAACCTCCTCAGGGTTACTAAAAAAGACCATAAAAAATACAAATAGTCCATAAAAAATTCAAATAAGAGCAGCAGCAGGAGAAGCGGCGAACAGCGAGCGCCAGCGTCCTCTCTCCTGTCACACCTCAAACCACAATAAAATCTAATCGCTTGGTGTGTTAAATATTTAAAAAAAAACGTCAAAACTGAGTCAGTATCGTCTTGGCTTTCCCCTCTTAGCTTATTAAAACACTATGTGTGTGCAGCTCCATACAATCTTTAAAGTAGACATTTTATGACTTTTAAATTTCATATATAATAGTCCAACGAGTGACGCAAAACATGTTTATGGAGTTCTTCACTAAAATCCCTCTCATTTAAATGAATCTCAGCAGATTTTTTTTCTTCACATTTTTAGTACCCTCCAGAATGAGCCCTTTCAGGGTTCTGTCATTTTATGGAAAATAGGCCGGAGCTGGCCACACCCACCCGCCCCTCACCCTGGATGCTATTGACCCTTTGATGCTACCATGATGGACGTCAAAGCAACATCTAACATCCATTAAAACTCTGTTAAGTAGCCTTAAATCACTTTTATTTTGTTGATTTCATAATAATACGGTAATAGTTTCTTGCACAATTGGCTGCACTAAGAAACACAGTTGTAAACTCAACTTGTCTCCTATTCAAATAACTTTGATGGGGACAGAAGCTGGTAATGAACAGCAGTGGTTAATCAAACGGACTAACTGAAAGGCTCTCATATCTGGGAGGGGCTTGGAGTAGAGCTGCTGCTTTTCCAACTCGGAAAGGTGAGAGGGGCGTACTATAGTAATTTCCTTGTTTGTGATGTCACAAATGGGGACTTTTTGAAACGGCTCATGTAGGCACAAAATTCTTAAACCAAACACAGACAGAAAATGTTTGGAGTGTTTATGGAGGTAGTAGAGACCCACATGGCAGCACAAAAACGCAAAACGGTACGTTTTCCATATATCAAAAAGAAACAGCATTTAATTTGACCTAATCTGCATGGCTCTAACTGTTCTACTTGCCTTAGTCCTTGTCTGGGCTTTTATCCTTTACTTGTTTGTTGCACACAGCTGGTAAGTGAAGGATACAACCCTCATCCCCCTCTCTATGGGGTCTGTGAGCAGCAGACCTCTGGGAGCATAGATCTTCTCATTCTGCTCCTGGATGTAGCCAGATATCTTCTTCAAGACCTGGAATGAAAGTGCAGGTGGATGGGTTTAAGGAAACAACTGATCTACAGCTAGATGTAATCCAATTTCATTGGAACCACTGGAGGTTTAATGAAAACACAAACAGAATGTGCAGGATATAATCTAAATCCAGACCAATTTTTAAAATAATTGCTTGCATGGTACCTTAAAGTATATTCTGTAATGACCAGGATTCAAAGAGAGATTACATATTAAGTAGGACGTTTTAACTGAAATCCCCCTCAGGTTCCTATAAAACACAACCCGTAAAAATGGAAAAAATGACTTTTCGGCTGCGTAAAAGAGAATGTAACTCAATTTTTCAAGTAATTGCTTTCCCGGACAACTATAATACAAACTATAGGTAACCCTATTACGCCACAAGTACATTAGTTTGTCACCTATGTCAAATAAGACTTTATGATTTGAAATGCTACAGCTGATTATGTTTTCTCTTTTTTAAATTTTCCATTTGGAAGTTGCATGGCTCAGACTGGATCCTCTGTCTTGGTTAACAGTCGAAGCAAACTGGAAACACTCTAAAACCCATAGTAGACAGTTTATTTGGATTGCTCTGGCAGTGAATCCATCACGTCTTGCAAGTGAGTTTTGCATCAACTGTGCAACGACCACAGAGCAGCAGTGGAGGGAATCAGCGCTCTTTGGACCATGCCTTGACACAAAAATTACTTCTGTATACATTCTTGAGCTTTGCAACTAAAAGAAAAGCTAAGAACCATCAACATTACGTGGTCTGGTAGGCTGCTGCAGACTGAAGGCCAGTCACGCTAAATTAGCAGCTTTAAAGTAAAATGGCATCATTAGAGCAGCTTATTCAGCCTCAGATATGCTTATGTGGGTACCGACATGCCCTGCGTTTCCTAAACTCGGCCTCATCGTGTCAGTCATCATGTCATGCATGTGTAGAAGGCTTTTACAGGCCTGGAAAGAAAAATGAATTTTAAAATCCCACTTTGACAGAAAAGATCAAACTGCAAATGTAAATAAAAAAAAACACCTCTTAATTCATATAATTAAAGGGAACAACCTTGTTTCCAATTGATATTCTGAATATTTTATTTCCCCAGTCCATTAACGCATCTCACAGATTAATAATTATTTTTCTCATTTCAAACATGCTTTTAAATCTTTTTTTAATTATTGAAATGTTTTGTTTTTGTGAAGCACCTCTTGATCTTTATCTTGAGAAGCCCCATACATAAGATTGGTTTATTTCTTTCTAAGTGCAAATTCACACTAGCAATTACATATTTTTCCTGAGAAATTCTTATTTCCAAAATAGCAAATGTTTAAAGCATGTCTAGAGCATGAAAATAGTGTTCCATCATTTTTCCTGCATTAGTCGTCGACAGAAAAATAGATGAGGAAATGCTCGGATTAGAAAAGCCAGTCAGAGCTACGTGATATTGAAACTGTGTACTCATGGACTCATCCATCTTGGTTCACAACAGGGAAGGCTGTTGTTGATTTAGCGTCCAGGAGATAGCAGAGCGTGTCTTGGTTAGTAGAAGCTAATCTTTAGCATTAGCAACTCCCCGTTGCAGAGTAATGTTATTTGTTCTAAAACATCAAAGCTGCAGAGCAAAGTGAGTTAGTGGTAGTTGCATCACTGTTAGTCAATCAGAGGTGAGATGCCTGAATATCAGGGCATACGACTCCAAAAACTGCTGTCTTCTGCTCACTTCTAGTTCCTGAAACAGCAGCGCCAGAGCTTTTTTTCCCCCACAGACATCGAGTGATAACGTTTTCCTTGTTTGAAAATGGAAATTAGAAAATTTGGTTTACTTTGTCAAGGCTCCGTTAGATCGCATCTTCTTGTTTAAAATTTATTTTAGATTATTCCATAAAACTCTATGTGCATTCTTCAAATATTTGTTCCTGTTTTAAGTTCGCCTGGAGCATGAATTGTAATTACATTTCTTTTTGTTCTTTCTAGAAATTAGAAATAACGTTCTGTTTTTTTAGAGTGATGTATGTGTGTTAGTATGTTAGTTTTTTCTGTTGTATTGATTTTGAAGTGTAATTTATTTGTTGTCCCTTTTTTACAAACTGCTCGACTGTCTTTACGTTTTGTTTTTGATTTTGTAATGGAGGACCCCTTAATAGTGAGATCGTACTTCAAGGTTTTTTTTTTCCTCTAGGAATAAATAAATCCATCCAAACAAACAAACAAACAAACAAACAAACACAATTCGACCAACCAACCAAAATAAACACATTCTACATTAAATCTGGAAATCCTATTTTTAAACCATGTCCATCTGGCTAAAAAGGAACAAAACCATTCATCTTCATTCAACATAATTGTTAAACGGCTGTGTTTGTGCACGAATACGGGTCATTTTTACACTTGTGAGCGTCGTGACGACCTGCTCCACTGGGTTTTGGTGCTTCGGGTTAGTTAGTGGCTCCTGGGGCGGGATTGTCTGAGGGTGATTGAAAACACCTGGGCTTGATGCCTACAAGAACTCGACTCCACCTGTAGTCTGATGGAGACAGCCTCTTTTCCACATGCACAAACATCTGGGGTGGGAGCTCTTTTGCTCCTTGCTTGTTTTTGTTAAAACAACTCTTTTATTTCTCAATCATGGTTGTCAGGACAAGGCAACATTGGTTTATAATTAACACTGATACCTTTTCCTGCTGAAATAATGAGAAAACCCTAACTCCAGTCCAGACCCATGACCCACTGAACGCACTTTCTAAACTCTTGAGCTTCCTAAGGTCAAAATAAAGCCAGAACAGCACCGATGTTTTTGTTTATCCAAACAAAGAATTGATGCAACAGAAAGATAACTTCCCTCAACACATTGGAGATCCTCAAGTGTCTTCCATTGGCACAGGGGCGGCGTTAGGCCCGGCTACTTGGGCTGAAGCCCCGGATCTTTCATGATAAGCCCCGGATCTAAATCGCGGAAGTAACATGCAGTACCAAAGTCACACAGAGAGGGCGCAGCTGGCAGTAGTTTGTAAAGTCCCATTTAGTCGTCACACACACAGGTGCGTGGTGAAATTTATTCTCCGATTTTGACCCATCCCCTGAGTTGCAGACACGCCGCGCTCGGGAACTATTTGGTGGTTTAACCCCCCAATCCAACCCCAATCCAATGCTGAGTGTCAAGCAGGGAGGCATTGGGTACCATTTTTCTCAAAATCTTTGGTATGACCCGACCAGGAGTCGAACCCCTGATCTCCCGATCTCAGGGCAGACACTCTACCACTAGGCTACTTAGTCAGTATACAGTTAACCTGAGACTGAAGAGAAGCCCTTCAGCAGCTGGCTTCTGCAGTCTCTGAAACGCATGAGTGAAGATGGATATAAGGACGTTTTTTTAGACCAAAAGTACAACGACAGAACCCCAGCTCTGATGAGACTGGTGTTGACTCAGGTTTGTGAGTCTTATTTGAAAATATTTGTTGTGCTGCTGGTTTGCCTAAAGTTAGCTTACTATCAGGTAAAGTTGTTGGAGAAAGAAAGGGAATATTCACTATCATCTCACACTAAACACTAACAGGAACAATACTCTGCCCTGAATATGCTGAATATGTAGCTTCAGATTAAACATTATGTGGTACAAGACAAATATATATGATGTTGACTAGTGCGTGTCACGTGTGTGCGCGCATGCGTGTGTGTGCGCGTGCGCGCGCGTGTGTGTGCGCGCGCGTGTGTGTTAAGCCCCGGATCTTCTTCAGTCCTAAATCCGCCCCTGCATTGGCAATAGTTAAAACTCTGGCTTCATGTTGCAACTATAAAAAAAGCAAAGAATAACCAGAAGCTACAGTCTGGTGAATTTGAATGTGATGTGTAATTTAGGAGATTTACTAACTATGACTGATTCACATCCTCCTTTAACTAAAGGTCACTGCAGCAGCAGCCATCTTTAACAGATTGGAAAGATCAGAGGCTGGCTGCACCTGACTAGGACACAACTACATATTCTTTCTGGTTCTGACAAGAAAATCTAAGACATATGTCATTGATAAATAATGGAGCTAACTAGATCAAGTTCACTTTGCTGTACTTTTTAAATACGAGTCAGCTTTTAATGAAATAACATCTGCCCAAGACCAATTTGTCAGAAGTTACAAAGTGAAGCTTTGACTTATCGCTCTGCTGTGATTCGGGGGAAGTAAAACCTCTCTTTTGCTCTCAGAGCAGCTCAGTCATCTTATGCCAGTTTTCAATTCATGTACTCAAGCTACGAATCTGTCGAACTGACGTGTGTGTGACAGCTGCTCTGAGAAAAGCCTTACATCTTGGGTAGTAAAAAATAAAATAAATAAATAAAATCTGGCCTATTGCTCAAGGTGCCCATACTGAGTGTCAGTTCAAATCTTATACTGAAGCTACATACAATAAAGACCGTATTTTTTTTTACTTTTTATTTAAAAATACGATTTTCACCAGTTTTAAAGGTGCATTATGTAGAAGTATGGATGGGTACCTTTGACATTTGAATCGATTCGGTACTAATTCCCGGTACCTAGGAATCGATACCGGTACTTAACTATACCAGTTTTCGATACTTTCCTTCACTAACTATCCTGTTTATTTATTGCAGGTGGCTGCACTGATTATTTCTTACATGATTTTTTTCTGTAAAAGTTGGTATTTTTGGTAGTCTACAGTGTTTTTATGTCAGTTTAAATTACAATTTCAGGGGCAATTCTAAAATATTATGGATCATGATAAAGATCTATTGGAGATCTACCCCAACTTTTGGACTGCTCTGCCAGTCACTGTGGCTCAAGCTGAGAGGAGCTTTTCAAAACTTGATCAAGTCATACCTGAGGTCAACTATGTTTCAGGGGCGGCTCACTAACCTGGCTCTGATTAGTATCAATCAGGCGCGCAGATAGGGTGAGGGACGGGGGGCTCAGTCCCCCCAGATTCAGATCGACCCCGACTGACTCTGTTTGTGAAGCAGAATATTGACTCTGATGAAGAAATTCACTCATCCAGCCGGGAAGATTGACGCTGCTGCAGCATCAGACAGCTGGTGCTGCACGAGGTGTGTGGAGTTTACAAGCTCCAAACGTTGGGTTTGATGTTGGTTTAACCTTCTTTGGGTCGTGATGGATGTAGAAATGATGGTAAAAACACCGCTAACGTGACAGATGTAGCGACAATGTAAAAAAAAGCCGTGAAAAAGAGAGAGATGCCGATGAGTTAGATTTGGAAGTCAAGTGTGTCACATAATCATAAAAAAGGTAAAATATAAAATTTAAAAAGAGATTTATATATTTATTTATAAATAAAAACTTTCCAAATATAAAGAACATTTCTAAATATCGTAAAAATATGAAGGAACATCTGTTGGTCAGGCTGAAAAGTTTGGGAACCACTGCTCTAAGTGATAAGTGAATTTCTTTTTTTAAATATATTTTATGTGCAGTTTTTTAGGGCTTTTATGTTTTCTGTAAAGATTGGTATGCTGAAAATCATTTAATGTTTTGCATAAAGCATGAGGTTTTGGTTAGTAATTGATTGGAAGAATAACAAATGACTGATTTAAATAGTGGGGCGCCTCTGTCAGTGCGCCCCAGGGCAGCTGTGGCTACATCATAGCTTATCACCATCAGTGTGTGAATGTGTGTGTGAATGGATGAATAATACACTGTAGTGTAAAGCGCTTTGGAGTCCTTACTCTGAGAGGCACTATACAAGTGCGGATCATTTATCATTTATAGTGTTGATCAGGCAGAGTTTTGTTGCATAATGGCTTCAAACACGTATATAAAAGTGTTAGTTTTTACGTAAACCATTGGATGAAATTACACAAACTGACTGAGCTCTAGTTAAGGTGCTTGCAATAGTTTGTGTATGTGTACGTGTGTGTGCGTGTGTGTGTGTGTGTGTGTGTGTGTGTGTGTGTGTGTGTGTGTGTGTGTGTGTGTGTGTGTGTGTGTGTGTGTGTGTGCGTGCGTGCATGTGTTTGGGGGAGGGTACATTGCAACTTTGTCCCCCCCAGTTCGAAAATCCTATCTGCGCCCCTGGTATCAATCACTCAGTAGGGGAGCAGATTTCATATGATGACATTATTGATGACGTTGCATCAAGGTTAGGTTTTAATTTTAGTTTGTGTTTTCTGTTCTAAGTGCAATGCTGTAGTGATTATCTTTAGTGTGTTATGTGTGAAACATTTTTGCTATTTAGAATATTTATTATATATTATGTTCATATATTCTAAATATTTAGTTATTGTTTGTTTTTGTGTATTTGAGTCTATATATTTACAGTATATAATGTATATTGCTGTACATTCTGACAACTTCATAGTAATTAGTGTAAATATGTGCAACCTAGAAAAATGAATGTTCAATAGTCGTTCTAATAAAACATGCCTGTTTGTAGAAAACATGCATGTGTTCGTGCAGGTGGGGTGGGGTGGTGGTGGTGAAGGGGGGGGGCGCTCAAAGGGGGCCTCGCCCGGGGAGTAATTCCATGTAGAACCGCCACTGGTTGTGTTGCTGTTAGCCAATCAGAGGTGAGATGTCCTGATATCAGGAAATAACACTCCAAAACCTGGCGTCTTCTCTCCTACGACTCACTTCTGGTTCCTGAAACTGGAGCGCCAGAACTTTTTGCTCACAGATTGACTCATTTAAGAAAAGGGTTGAAAGAACGACTTCACTTGGTCTTCAAATTATAAAAATCAGAGCTTTGGGGGGAGTTAAAATTTTTTTTTTCATAAATGCACCGGTTCTGACAAGCTTGAAATAGTTTATTTGATGGATCAAGAAGTTAAAAAGGCCAACAGCCAGCCTCAACTTGGGTGGGTATCATCACCAGTTAGCCAAAAAGTTAGATGTGTAAATAAACAACTCTCCCATGAAGCTGATAGCATCTGGGCATCTCAGTGGAGCGGTACCGGCCGACTGGGAGATGAAAGGTGCCTCAGACCGGCCCGTTTCTCCATGGCTTCAACGCAGGAATAAACCTTTCTTTTTTATCTTGTTGTTTCTTGGTCAAGCTTCCTTTACTTGGTTAAAAGAAATGTTTAGAAAATGCAACAAGATGAGAGAGATGAATGTTGTGGTAGACGGAGGTCGGCACACAGAGGCATGTTGGAACTTTTCGCCGTTCCAGTTTTGTCTAAAACAGCAGCCAGCAGTGAAGGGAATGACAAGGGAATTAATCAGGTTCTCTGTGTGTAAGTGTGTGTGTTCTTGTTCCATCTCAGCGACTAACAGGCAGCTGAGATTTAACCACCTGCACTTTCCCAAGATCGAGGCTTGTAATAAGCTGATGTGTCTCACACAGGTGTGGTCTTCAGAGAGGATAAAAAAAACAGCGTAGCCACAAAGAACCAGATCTTATCTCCAGGTTCCTGCTGTTGCTTGTCTATCAAAATCTGATTTTTCTTTCCGCTGTTTTTCCTTTTTATCCCAAACTCAAAGGTACAATTGTAAATGTTTCATCAGTCTTTCTTCACTTCTGGTAAAAACGTTGTGCAAGAACCTTTTGGTGTTTACATATTTCGGTGAGTGGTGAACTATTACCTTCTCGTAGCGTGTCTCCATGCAGAGGAAGATGATATAAGCCGTTGCACAAGCCAGACATCCCTCCAGGTACGACTGACCTCCGATTTTTTCAGCCTCCACATAGTAGGCGTTCAAGGTCTTCAACGTCTCCTCAAGCAAAGTTCTCTCGATCTAATCACAAAAATACCAGTGTGCTTTGAACAAACGCAAGATCCTCTGGCAAACAACGACTTCCAGTGACTAATGGCAAAGTTTCAGTAGGATTAAATCACCGAGTCTATGTTGGATACATGGACGTGAAGTCCTGCCTCACATAGAAGTACTAGACAATTTTTAAAGCTGTACTTTGAAACTTTTTCACATTTATTATTTTTTTATTTTTTGAGCAAGTATGTGCTAAAATGATCCTTTACAGGATTTATGAAATGTCCCTCAGGCCCCCACCGCCCTCTGTGGCCAGAATATCACTTGCAACTTCAGAGTGGCATTTGGCAGACATGCCTGTTGTTGCCGTCTGTTTCCAGCACGTTTCCTGCGTGTTTGGATCATGAACACAGCTGATTTGTTTAATTTTGTGGTTGATCACTTCTGTAGACGCTAATGAAGGCTGAGAAGACATTTCAGCAGTTAGATTAAGGTCTACTAAACAGACACTAGGGGGTGCTAAAAGCAAGCTCAAACTGCCTTGTATTTAACTCGAATAGTTGCGCAACGACTTGTTTTGCTGAAACAAGGAGCACATTTGAAAGTTTTTTTTTGTGAACTAAGTGAAAAATGTCCAGTTTTGACTGATAATGAAACCATTTTTAACAGTTTTTTTTTATTTACTTGATTGTGAAGCTTAAAGATGGTTGACCAAAGTTTTCTGATATAAAGTCTTCATTGTAAACATTGTGGCCATCATTTACACCAGTCGAAATGCGTATCCACAAAAGAGAGTTGTCAATCAAGGAGAATGCACACCAGTTCCCAGCATGCACTGTGTGGAACCAGTGTGGCCTTATCAGTCCTTTTGTGTTAGGGCATCTGAATATTTTCCACGACTTTTGGGTTTGTGCTCACCCTGTTGTCGAGCTCAGAGGGGAACTTGTTTTGAAATCGACACACCGTTCCTTCGCTGTAGTCCCTCTGAATGTACACCTTTGTTGCAAGTGATGTGCTGTGTTGCATTTCCTGGAGGTTATGGAACTAAACAGAAACAACATTGAAAAAAACAGATTTAATCATTGTGGTTCGACGAATATCGAGTTTCTTAAATAGTTTCTTATAACATTTTCCCCACTTTGGCGTTTTACAAGTTTGTGCACATTTTGGTGCAAAGCCATACACTGTAAAAACTCAAGTTGAAATCCAATTAAAGCAGCTTTCCAGAGTTTTCCCCTTTCAGAAATGAGGTATGATTTTTCTGAAATACTTAAAAGTAATTATCTCATCATGTACTTTGATAAAATGTAAGTGATACGTCTTTTTTTATTTTTTTTGCTAAGCACGCCCCCTGCCCCGCAGAGCTCCATGCAATAGGAAGCTGAGCGCCAACCAGAACTAACCAATAGCGTTAGACTACTGCTTAGATATATCAAATTTAAGGAATACCTCGGCTGATGCAGAGTTGATGAACTTTTCGTGGACAAGAAAGTCTCTAAAATATAAATATATGAGAACACAACATGACATGAGAGTAACACTCATAAAACGTGATTTAGCGCTATTTGTTGGCTACACAAGCACATTTATAAACAGAAACGTAAAATAGCCATCTTAAAAAAACAGAGCAACAGTTTTTTTGTGTGATATGCTTGTCAGCCACTAGATGGTGTCCTCGGATAAGAGAAATACTCCAGAAAGAAGCTTTAATCAGACTACACAGACAGAACAAGGCTAAAGGTTAAAATCACATTTGACATTTTACTTTTTCAGCAGCAGTGAAAGCTTACAGTAGTTAGCACTCTGACTGCATTCCTTCAGCTTCAAAAGGTAAAATTGCCGTAAAAGCAGCCTGAAAGATTCCTCCTTAGAGCACTTTAACGGTGAGTGGTGCACTTTAAACACAGCCAGTGTAAACTTGTCCCCCGCAGATCTAAATTGCTTCCCTCAAGAGGATAGCAATTGGCGATAAGGCAAGAAAGGCAGAAGTTGGGAAGGGGAGGGTGAGGTGTTTTTAACATATATCATATTTTACAGTGATCAAAATTTGAGCAGCACCTATTTGTTAAAGCTCTGTGTTTGGCCAAGTTCAGCAATGTTATTATTGGAGGGCAGTAAGTCAGTAGAAGTAGACGCAGCACTGAGCCAGCCTTTCATTTTTATATATGAAGTAGGTCTACATCACTCACAGCCAGGAATAGCCTCCATGCTCCTATTTTCATCTGCTATCAGCCACAATCCTTTCACAGACAGAGCTTTTAATATCCTTCTCTTTGCTTTCTCTGTTTCTCCAACAGCTTCTATCTTTGGACCATCGCGATGAGTCAGTCATCTGACTTTTAGATGCGGTCTTCAGCACGTGGCGGAACATATTGTTTATCCAAGTTGGAATCAGTTAGCTGGGCTTAATCCTCTTTAAGTTAACACAGTGTCTTTGTTTCTGGCTGCAAGGATGTGTGCAGGTGAAGGTTAAGATATATACTCCATGCACGCAGGTGCCAAAACTAACAAAGAACCTCCTGCATTTGGATTTTTATTTAAGTAGGTTTAACAGGTTACACAGAAATAAAATAATGGAAATAAATACTTGTGCAACTAAATTTTAAGTGTTGCATCTACAGGAAATACCTCCAAAAGTTCCTTGTTGTGATAATAATCAAAATGAGAAACGATAGAACTAGAAACAGAAGGCATGGCAAAAAATTTTGTAAAAAATTAAATAAACAGTGAAATAAGTAAGATGTAAATGTGAAAATTATAAGTGAAGAATACTACAAATTCTTACATATTAGTGTAAAACTAGTATGAAAAGATAGTTCATGAGTTGTTTTCTGTAGAAAATGAATTTCAAACATCTTATCTGTTGAGATACAGCTTTGAACAACCTTAGTTTAGAGAAACGTGGATCAGATGGGCCTGGATTTGTGTCATTTCATAGCAGTTTGTGCAACTGTTACTTTGTAAACTTGTATTCAACCATAAAGTTCACATTTACATCAAATTCTGTCATTATGTATTTGACAAACACTTAAAATTAAAGTGATTTACTAAGGTGATTGTAACAAGGCGCTTAATCTAGAGCAGTGGTTCTCAGTCCTGGTCCTGGAGAGCTGGTATCTAGCATGTTTTAGCTTTACCACACTAGATTTCAGTCAGCGGGTGATTAACAGGCTTCTGCAGAGCTTGATGAGCCGCTGCACATGTGATTCAACAGGAGCAGAAACACTAAAATGTGTTGGACATCGGCCCTCCAGGACTAGGATTGAGATTCACGGATCTAGAGTAACGGTGACACAGAAGTTGAGTGCTTGACCCATAATGGGAAGGTTGCAGGTTTGAGCCCCGCTCGGTCTGTTGCTGTTGTTGTGCCCTTGGGCAAGATACTTAACCGCCCTTGCCTGCTGGTGGTGGTCGGAGGGCCCGGTTATGCCAGTGCTCGACAGCTTTGCCTCTGTCAGTGTGCCCCAGGGCAGCTGTGGTTACATCGTAGCTCATCCCCACCAGGGTGGGAATGTGTGTGTGAATGGGTGGATGACTGATTGTGTTGTAAAGCACCTTGGGGGGTTCCAGGATTCCACAAGGTGCTACATCAAACACAGGCCATTTACCATTTTAGAGGGTAATGTTAAACTACCTAAAAATAACACTAGTCAGAGGTTAGAGGGGAGTACAAATGTAGGGGGAAGTGTGCAGGGAAGGTGCTCTTTGAAAAGTTGGGTCTTTCAAGAGTTCCCTAGAGAAGGTAACTGTGAACACCACAGGAAAAAAGTCTGGATTATCTTCAGAATGGTGTAGGCACTGCTAGCCGACAGTCTGTTGATGACCTGAGTGACCGAGTCATAATATAAGCCCTTTGCAAGAGGATTCAGGTAGATGGGAGTCATTCCAGTTAGGACTTTGTAGGATGGTGACTTTAATTTGATGAAGGTGGCTAAGGGTAACCAATAGAGCTCAGTAAACAGTGAGGTGACATGTGTTCCTTTAGGTTGATTGAAGACCAGACACATCGCCCTGTTCTGGACCATTTGTGGAAATTTCACGGTACGGGCTAGGGGACCAGTTAGAAGAGCATTGGAGTAATCAAAATAGGTGACAACCATAGTCTGCTCCAGGAGCTGGGTGGTATATTCTGTTAAGTAAACAATGCAAAGTGGCACCAATGTGTAACTGAGGCAGAATGATCTCTGAAGTTCAGCTGGTCTTCAGTCTTCACACTCTAATTGCAAACAGCCTTTGATGGAGCAAGAGATGGGAAGATGGGAGGACAAACAGTTCAATTAAAGGGAGGTTGATTTTGGAGGTTATGGACTTTCATCAACCTCAATATGTCACAGAGAAAGTCCATCAGGTGGGAAAGAATGATGAAGCTGGGGATTAACAGCAAAGCAGTGGTAGGAGAAATCATCTTGAACGATTCAAGCCAGTGAGGTGGTTGGTATGTCAAAGAAGTTCCAGTACTAAGACTTGGGGAATCCCTGTTGTGAGATGGTGCTCAGCAGACATGTGACCAAGCCACATATGTTGAATTTCTGACCTGTGAGAAAGAACTCAAACCCAAAGTGTGGTCTACTTGCATTGCCCACTCTAAAGAATATGAACAAAGGGATGCCGTGGTGTCAGATGCAGCCCCTAAATTAAGCTTGATACATAAGTACAGAGGACTTTGTTCCAAAATACAGCTGTGAGTCTTCTTGGTAAAGATGCCACAAGTTTCTTCCACCTGGATTTGAGGATCCGCTGCCATTCCTCCTTGCAGATCCTATCCAGTTCTGTCAGGTTGGATGGTGAACGTTGGTGGACAGCCACTTTTAGGTCTCTCCAGAGATTCTCAATTGGGTTTAAGTTGGGGCTCTGGCTGGGACATTCAGGAACAGTCAGAGTTGCCGTGAAACCACTCTTTGGTTATTTTAGCTGTGTGCTTAGAGTGATTGTCATGGTGGAAGGTAAACATTCGGCCCAGTCTGAGGTCCTGCGTACTCTGGAGAAGGTTCTCGTCCAGGATGTCCCTGTACTTAGCCGCATTCATTGTCCCCGCGATTGCAACCAGTCGTCCTGCCCCTGCAGCTGAAAAGCAACCCCACAGCATGATGCTGCCACTGCCATGCTTCACTGTGGGGACTGTATTGGACAAGTGATGAGCAGTACCTGGTTTTCTCCACACATACAGCTTAGAATTTAGGCCAAAAAGTTCTATTTTGGTCTCATCAGACCAGAGAATCTTATTTCTCACCATCTTGGCTTCAGGTGTCTTTAAGCAAACTCTATGTGGGCTTTTGTGTGTCTTGTACTGAGGAGAGGCTTCCGACGGGCCACTCTGCCATAAAGCCCTGACTGGTGGAGGGCTGCAGTGATGGTTGACTTTCTACAACTTTCTCCCATCTCCTGACTTCATCTGTGGAGCTCAGCCACAGTGATCTTTGGGTTCTTCTTTACTTCTCTCACCAAGGATCTTCTTCCCTGGTAGCTCAGTTTGGCTGGATGGCCTGCTTTAGGAAGGGTTCTGGTCCCAAACACTTTTCACTTGACGATTATGGAGGCCACTGTGCTCTTACAAACCTTAAGTGCAGCAGAGATTTTTTTGTAACCTTGGGCTTGCCACAATTCTGTCTCTGAGCTCTTCAGGCAGATCCTTTAATCTCATGATTCTCATTTGCTCTGACATGCATTGTGAGCTGTAAGGTATTCTATAGACAGATGTGTGGCTTTCCTAATCAAGTCCAATCAGTTTAATCAAACACAGTTGGACTCCAATGAAGGTGTAGGACCATCTCAAGGGTGATCAGAAGAATTGGAAAGCATCTGAGTTAAATACGAGTGTCACAGCAAAGGGTCTGAATACTTAGGACCATGTGATATTCCAGTGTGTCTTTTAAATACATCTGCAGAATTTACTAAAATCTGCTTTTCTGTCAGTATGGGGTGCTGTGTGTGCATTAATGAGGAAAAAGTCATTTTAATAGATTTTAGCACACGGTTGCATTATAACAGAGTTAAAAATTGACAGGGGTCTGAATACTTTCCGTACCCACTGTATAGTGTGCCTAACTTTGCTCTGGCAACTAATCTGTCGTTCTCCAAACAGAGGCCATTCAAAGAGATATCTAAGTGATTAATACTAAATTTCTACATTACTTTATTGCTGAGGATGTAGCAGCTGTAAAACTATCACATTTCACAATAAGAGATGTTCACATCAGCAATCAATGCTACTCTTATTGTGAAATTAACAGCACTGCCTTAAGAAACAATTGGTTTCTGCATCTTACACTAAAATGTGAAATATGAAAAATAGAGCTGCACGAAATTAGGAAAACCTGCAATATTCAATAACAGTGATTAATATTGCGATGATGATGCGATAAACAAAAACTTAAGTCAGGAACAAAAATAATCAAAAACAAAGAAATAAAAAAATGACAAAATATAAAAATGAGAATAGCAAAAGATGTGAAGAAAGGGAAAAAGAAAATTAGCAAGAAAAGGCAATCAGTAGATCCCGGAAAAGCATAAAGGGCAGAGCAAAGCTAACTCAGGTGTTTGCTAACCATCAAAATTAAGTGCCGTCTGCTTTGGGGGCGGGCATCTAAACTATGAGAACGCACCCAATTGGCCAAATGGGTGAAGAGCTCTGTTTGATTTGTTAAAAAAACAACATGCTTCCGTTTGATTGACAGAATGCATCATGTGTGGCAACCATTCGAGCTGACCATTCATTACGATATTTATCTGATCTTTGCGATATACATATTGCGCATGCTGACATCACGATAACGATACATTTGCGATATATTGTGCAGCCCTAATGAAAAATGTGTTTTGCTGTTCTACATGATCACATATTTGTTTTTGGTTTATTTTTATAACAAATTAATCCAGATCAAGGAAATGTCCCACTTTTTCTTTTATTTAATTATGCTCTAAAATCAAATTGATTTGATTGCTGACTGCACTGGATTCAGATTTAACCTTGGTTTTGTAAAGAAACTAACTTGTCAAAAAGAACCTTGTTAAGAAGCTTCCCATTAATTTTGTGGAAGTGTCAGTTTAATGCACTCAACTTTATTCCACTTTGTTCCAATCACATGTTGAAGTGAGCGAACCCCCTGATGAAATAAATAAAGACACTGTTACAGTAAAAAATATGTTCTTCATTGTTTCTTTCCATGTCTTTGGTGACAGAGGGTGACAGTCCCCTCTTTATTTTTGCAGCCTGAGTTTGCATAATATGTTTCTCAGCTTTAAGGAGCACTAGCAATAACGTGGGTGAGAGCAGCCAGTGGGCAGACACTGCATATGGTGTGCTCCAGCAATTACAGCATGCACTGTGAACTCTCTGATAGATCTCTTAAGATTGGCTTCATTTCCATCGCCATGATGGTTTAGCCAAGAGTCCAGAAATCGATGGTTTGAAGGCAGTGTTTGAAAAATCTTTTTAGAAGGGAGCGAAGATTCTGACTATTTAATTTGCATGCCAGAGCCAGCCTACTGACAGAGAAAGCTCTGGAAGCAATTATTGGATGCTACCGGGTGACTCGGTGACAGTACCGAGTCAATTTGTATTTTTGCCGACTTGGCAGACGATGCTTGCCATAAAACAAACTGGAAACATCTTTTAGACCCAATCTGATGGTAGCAAACTGCAGCAGACTGATCACATCAGACATGCCACAGATAAGAAGGGCTGTGAAATGAACACACACACACACACACACACACACACACACACACACACACACTCACACTCACACACACACACACACACACACACACACACACACACACACACACACACACACACACACACACACACACCATGTGTTTCTGTGCATAACAGGTTTTAGTGGTTAACTGAAGCAGAATCCTTTCCGACCACCAGAGGAAATCAGCCCAGTCCTGATGATGCCATGAAGCCTCATGACAAACGCATCATCTTGATCCCAGCCTTCAGTCCATTGTAATTTCACCTGCATCACCATTAAGTTTGTTTCTACAGCTCAATGCATGCATGAGTCTTCCAAAATAAAATAAACTTTTTTCTCCAGTGAGATGATTGTGGTGATAACTGCATGCTGTGCCACCTTCAGCTAAATGGTGACACCACCAAGGACACCAAGGGTGAGGGAGGTGTTCTGCTGCTGCCCCGAGACACACAAGCTATATATGCTTCAGCAAATTCCATTTCAGGTAGTTATTTAACACTCAGCTGGGCTCTGAGCGTCCTGGTTTTGGTTTAAGCTATAGTAAAAGTTAAAAAAACACAAAGGTTTTTCAACACTTAGATAAAAACCTGTCCTGTCCCTGTCCGTGGTGCTGACTGCATCATCATCTTCTTCTTCATCACCAGTTCCTTCGGCTTCCAGCCTGTTCTTGAGTGATTCAGGTCTGAATGTGTCCAATAAAATAAATAACTAAACCTCTTTGAAAGATTCACCACTTCTGCGCTGCATTTAAACAAGTAAAAGCCTGATGATGTATTTGGATTTTGAAAGCTTCACGTGATTCTTCCAATTATTAGATGATCCGACTGATGTTCCCAGAATGACCTAAACCTGCAGTCTCAACCTGCGCTTGTTGGACAGGATAACGGGAAGAAGACAGGAATATTTCAGGAACGACAGGAAATTCCTTACCTCTGTTGCCATGCTGCAGGGAGAAGGTGCAGGATGCGTCCCGAGCTGCAAACGACAGCCGTGTGTTGCGCGGGGCTGTGCGGGACACCGAGACTTACAGAGGCGACGCGAGCTCATGCACGTGCGCGTGACGGCGGGACTGCGGGATGCAGCTGCTTGCTTGTAAAGAGAGTTTATTAATTCATGAACCGTTGTTTGTGTTCCTGTCCACAGGGTCTCTGTTTCAAAACGCAATTGAGAGTTTTTTAGTGGTTTATTCAGGATATGGTGTGTTTATAGTGGCTTATCTTGTGAGGATTTCACTGATTAATCAAATATTTAACAAACGTGCATTAGTGTCCTTTTCATTTTCGATATTACAAAGCTCCTGAGAACTCTGCCTTTGCAAAAAATAAAAAGCACTACGGCAAGAAAACCAAACGGTTTTATTTAAAGGTTGAAACTATAATAATAATAATCCCAAATATTAGAAACAAATTTCCCAACCTGTATCTGTAAGTTGCAAGGTTTTTTATTTTATTTTACAAGCAATGGTTATTTTGTCAGAATGGAATCAAATGATGTCAATCAGTTGGCAACAACGTTTTTTTTTTTTTTTTTTTTTTTACCGTGTCCTGTCTGGCTGTAAAGCAAACAGAATTGATGTCTGAATGCTGGTGACAAGCTTTACAGATCTACTCTCAAGTGGAGCATCTAATGGGCCATTCCCATCTGTACCGGGTCGGCCCGGGCCGGGTAGCGTAGGTTGTTTACATATCTGGGTGGCCTGGTATTTTTCCGGGCCAACCAAGGTTCATTCTCAGCCCTCTTCTCGAGGGGGTCTGCTTCAGGTCGACCAGGGCCAACACACCCACTGCTGACAGCAAATTCACACCTTCCATTAGAGCAAGCCTCTGATTGGTGGGTAGAATCAGCCCACATGGGCTTAAGACAAGGATGTGTGGAATCAACCAGGCCAGGCTGGGGCCGATTGGGGCTACCCGGCCCGGGCCGACCCGGTACAGATGGGAATGGCCCAAAAGTGTCTGCTTTTAATGTCACGCCTGATACTTAAAACTTTATTGTTGTTGTATTTGAATGCTTTGTAATTCCGACCAGACACGGAGTCGGAGGTGAAAGAGAAAGGAAAAGGCAAAAGGTGGGGAGATAGGGGGGAAGGGGGGGGGGGGCGGGTCCACAAAAACAAACAATAATTAACAAGAGTCTGCTTCTAGACCTGCAGAAAGAGAAAGAATAGAAAAAAATGGGACACACAACAATACATCAGGAGCAAGCGATCACTGCATCAACCTGATGATGAAATATAAAATCAACATTGCTTAACTGAACAATCACATGATAATAAATCATAGTGTTTTTAGTGGCAACGACAGCCTTAAGACATGTGTTGAACGTGCCCAAGCCCATACTTTTGAGAGCACCATGTGAGCACCTGTGTGTGTACACGCACTTGTTTATGTAAGGTTTCTCTATAGGAGCATCCAACAGAGTGTGAGGGACCACAGATCCGCCCCCCAAAGATGCGTAGGAGACGGGGGGAGCTCCAAGTCCCAGAGATCCAGGCGCTGCCCCAGAACACAGGAACCCCAAGGACACTGCAACCAGAAAGGCCCCCGCCTCCCTCGAGAGGCACAGAGGATCACCACGGGGGGCCACAACCAGCAGCCGGCAGAGTCCAGGGAGATATCAGCGGCAAGCCCACAGGCCCGCCCCGCAGCCTCCCACCCCCTAGCCGGCCGAGCCCAGGACCCAGGGGCGACCATCCCCGCCGGGGACCCAGCAGAGCCCAGGAACCCAGATCCCACCAGGCAGCCACCGGGATTGATCAGGCAGGCGCCAAAGATCTTAAACCCCCTGACCCGGGAGCCACGAACACTCAGGCAGACCAAGGCACCACACCCCACACCAGGTGTGGCAGGGGGAGGGGAGATGAAGATCTATATCATTAAAAGAAGTCCCAGGAGAAGGGAGGAGTCAAAGGCCCCACCTGACATATACAGTCATACACAAACACAGTCACACACTCCCTCCCTCATGCTCACACATGCACATACAACCCAAGACTTACAAAAATGCACGCCGGACACCCACTCATGCTCCCCATACACAGCCTATTCACTCTGGTCCCGGTACTGCTGCACACTGGGTACAACCATCACCGGTTACCAGAGTTTGACCCTTTCTGCTGGGGTGCTGATGTGCAGGCTTCCCCGCCCAATGCTGAGCACAGCAACCCACCACCCCAGACCCCAACCAGATGGCCAGATCTCCCTCCTAGCCTCCAGCCCCAGGAAGCCAAGCAACAACAGAGGTGTGCTAAGACCCTTAGTCTCCCTCCGCCTGCTCCAATATAGTGTTGTGTGTTAAAGAGGTGTATTCCATGGCTGTGGTGAGCGGGCAGTGCGGGCATTGTCTGGCCTATGCCAGCTGATGCCACCGCACCACCCCACTTGCACCAACAGCCCTCGGTGTCTAAGTGCAGTTTAAAATTGGAAGTGGGCACAGGCACTTGGGAGGAGGCTGAGAAATCCCCCTGCCAAGTGCAGTTGAATGTGCTCACTCCCAAGCCCCTAAGGGTGTGTTTGCGTGGAATGTCTTCGGTGGAAGTGTATAAGGTGCAAATAAAATTGGGGGGCAGGTTGCCACAGGAATGCGGAAATGGAGTCCATACCCGCACTCCCTGACTTGTCCACCCCCCAAAGTCCTATGTGCATGTTTGTGTGATGATGTGAGGGAGCAGGAGGAGACAAATGTGTGGGGATGGGGAGAAATGGCTGGTTGGGCTTAGCTCTCCAGGGAGCCAGCTCCCCCACTGGCCCCAATAGGCGCCTCTGTTGTCAAATTGCCATCCAGGGCATGGAGACCCCAGCCCATCCTGCCAGGGCCCAAAGCAGCAGCATTGCAGAGCCTCACAGAGTCCGAGGGCACCAACCCAGCCCCACCCCAGCAGAATATCTATGCCCATCCCTGCATTTGCACAACTTCCAGAATATATAAGACATAGGACATCCAGGAAAGGTTGGGTCCTCCCCCTCCTGGACCTCCCCCTCCCCTGTGATGAGACAGCAGAGGAGCCAAGGTTTACCCGAGGCCCCTGAACCCGGGCCAGGCACTGCTGCATGTGCCTGCCTTCTTCCCGGCAGCATACGTCAGGACCCGACCCCCAAGGCCCCGCCCAGATCCCCACACAGGGCCGGCCACCCCCACACCCCGAGCCCCCAGGCCCCCACCCAGACCCGCCCAGGGGCAATGCAGCTGCCAGGCAGTGACCCATGGCCGCCGCCAAGACCTCCAAGGGGCCCCACTCACAACCACCAGTAGTCCACCCCCCGAGGCAACCCAAGCACCTTCAGAGGGGGGCAACGGCCCCCCAGTCCCAGACACCCCCAGTGAACCCACCTCCAGGGAAACATCCGGATACTCCAAACTCAGACCCTCCACCCCCCCACCCACATTATCCCGCAGGACAATATCAATGGTCCCCCATCATCGCTATGTGATGGAACTGATCAAAGGAGCCCAGAGAGATTGATTTGAAGTGGAAGCAGAGGCTAAATCAAGTGCAATATGATCTAACAAAAGATTTCTATACTGGTTAATGCAGAGAGTTTCTCTATTTTTCCAATTCAAGAGGATAGTTTTCTTAGCGATGCAAATGGCAGTCAGAACCACGTGAACCAAAAATATTTCAATCGGGACATCGTCCAGGTTTCCCAGTTATACAAAGAGAGGGGGAAGTTGGGATATGACATTTCAGATACTTTGACAGGTCTTCACATACTCTACCCCAAAATTCCTGGACAGGTGGACAGGACCACAGCTTGTGAATGTAACTGTCAGGAACGTTGTTTGTGCAGTGTGTACATGTGTCAGATGATACAAACCCCATCTTGAGCATCCGATGACCTGTATAGTGTACTCTGTGTACAATTTTGTACTGAATTAATTGTAAATTGGGGTGTCTGATCATTTTAAAAGTTTTTAAACAAGTTTGGGACCAGAAGTTCTGGTCAAAGCTAACTGATAGATCTACCTCCCATTTTTCAATAGGAATTGCAATTTTATCGAAACAGCAGGATCTGGAGTCCTTATCACTCACCTCTCATCTGATTGGCTAACAGCCACACAACTGTACCATTGACTGTGTTTGCTCTTGTTAAAGTTTTATCTCCACAAACAACACAAGCCTGAAGGAGTTTTGTTGTGTTGTGGAGTTGCTAATGCTAACGGTTAGCTTCTACTAACAAAGATGTGCTCTGTTCTCTCTTGGACCCCTGTCGCGAGCTGAACATGAAAATAGACGGTGAACTTCTAGGATTTGAAAAGCCTGACAGATCTACGTCATGCTGTCACTTAACATTCATGGACCACTCATCTCGACTTGCACATGGAAGGCATACCTTCCAAAATCAACAGGCAACGTCTCTGCTAATATAAGCTAACTGTTAGCATTAGCAACTCCACCAGTAAGTGGAACTCCTCCAGGCTTGTGTTACATGTGGAGATAAAACATCAATTTTGCCATGTAAACAAAATAGTTGCGTTGCTGCTAGCAGTCAGAGGCCAGATGTCCAAATATCAGGAAATAAGACTTCAAATTCTGTCTTCTGAAGCTCAACCAAGATGTGGCTCACTTCTAGTTCCTGAAACAGGCGCACTGGAGTACAACTTAAAAGATATTCATTCCTACTAGAGACCACTACAAATGTATTGATTAAACAAGTGCAACACACTGTTTAAACATCTAGTTCATTTAGTCTTGGATTGACAAAATAATAAGTAGAAGTTATTGTGACCAGAGTAACAGCTGATATGTTTCCTTTGGATCAAGAGATGAATGAGAACCAAAGTAGGAACAAAATAACCCTAAGGCTGTGGAGCCTAATGGTTGAATATGTTGGTTAGTGTTGGGGTTAATTAATTCAGCCAGATATTCATCCAAAAGTCAAAAACTGCAATGCTGAAATTCCCACATTCTCCATTATTCCAGGCTTCAGCCAAAAAAACATAAAAACATCACACACACACACACACACACACACACACACACACACACACACACACACACACACACACACACACACACACACACACACACACACACACACACACACACACACACACACACACACACACACATACACACACATA